ACATTCATTAATCAAAGGGAAAAAGAAATGATTCTAAAATCATAGTTGATAATTTTTAAACAAAATTATTTTAGCAATTGATAGAGCCAGATAAATAAAATCAATGAAGACATAGATGGATTTGAACCAACTATCAATCACCTTGACCTAAATGATTTTTTTTTGAGACGGAGTTTTGCTCTTGTTACCCAGGCTGGAGTGCAATGGCACGATCTCGGCTCACTGCAACCTCCACCTCCTGGGTTCCGGCAATTCTCTTGCCTCAGCCTCCTGAGTAGCTGAGATTACAGGCACGCGCCACCATGCCCAGCTAATTTTTTGTATTTTTAGTAGAGACAGGGTTTCACCATGTTGACCGGGATGGTCTCAATCTCTTGACCTCGTGATCCACCCGCCTTGGCCTCCCAAAGTGCTGGGATTACAGGCTTGAGCCACTGCACCTGGCTTGACCTAAATGATTTTATACAACACCATCCTCGACAACTGCAGAGTACACATCTTTTCAAGTAAATATGGCATGTGCACCGAGGTAGATTACATGCTGTACCATCTAACAATTCTCAATAATTTTTGAAGGGTTGAAAGCATACAGAATATGTTTTCTGAGCATATTATTGAATTAGAAATCAATAACAATGTGGCATCTAGAAAAATCCCTAACATTATAGCAAATCCCTCTAATTTCTTTAATAAAGAAATTGGCAAAAGAAATTAGAGACTATTTGGAGATGGAAAATATATAAAACCATATAATTTTTGAAGGAAAACATAGGATAATGTTTGTGATTTGTAAGAAAGCAAAGTTTGGGACCTGAAACATAAAGCAATAACCATAATAAAAATTAACAAGTGATACTTCATCAAAATTAAAAACCACTTAACAAAAGTACCACTAATGAACTGAACAGGCAAGCCACAGATTTGAAGGCAGTGTACATTGCAAAGCATGTACATAATAAAGGCCTGGTATGCAGTATACATAAAGAAATCCTACAACTCAATAACAAAAAAAAAAAACCCTCCATAACAATAATCAAAGGAATTGAATACACACATATCAACAAGTACATGAAACAAGTATATAAAAAATGTGTTTAACATCATTAGTTATCAGAGAAATCCAAATTAGAAATACATAGAGATACTACTACACACCCATTAGAATGACTAAAATTAAAAAAACTAATTTTGGTAAAAATGTACAGCAACTGGAAATCTAATACATTATTGCTGAGAGTATAAAATGGGACAAATATTTTGGAAAAAAGAGCTGGCATTTCCTTTTAAAACTAAACATATATTAACCTATGATCCAGTAACATAATTTCTGGATTCAAAAAAGCATATATATGCATAAAAAGCCAAATCTGTTTCATTTCTAATAGCCAAAAGTGGAAAACATCCCCCAGATACTTTAATGTGAGACAAGAATGAATAAACAAGCTTTGGCATTTTTATTCAATGAAGTATGCAGCAATAAAAAGCACCAACTATTGACATGCAGCAATATGAATAAATTTCAAAAACGTTATGTTGAGCAAAGGAAGTTAGTCATTAAAATGTATACACTTCACTACAGTATTTTATTTTTATGAAGTTCTAAAATCATCAAAGCCAATCAATGATGGAGAAAAATTTGAACAGTAGTGTTCTTGGGGTGTGGTCAGGATCGGTGACTGGGAGGGGACAGGAAAGGTTTTGCTAAGGTGATAGTAATGTTCTATAATGATGGGCTTTGAGTTCTATAAATATATACATTTTTCAGAGCTAAATAAAATATGTGTGTAAATTGTGTGTTAGTTTTACATCAAAAGGAAAAAATTAAACATTGAACTCTAGTTAATGGCAGAGCATTGGAAGGATCTAGAAGAAGCATGCACTTGTTCCTAGTTTACCTTCAAAAGCATAGAACAAGTCACATATTAATTCAAGAGTAAATATGTGACAAACCAAGAATATAGGTGCTGGATGTATACTAGCACCTTAGGGTATATGCTAAGCCTCTTTCATTTCAGCTATGTTTTAAATGTTTGATTAAAAATTTTGGAAAACCTAAAGTGCTACAATCGGCATCTTTAGAGAGAAGAGAAAACATATCAAAAAGACAAGAGATAACCACTGTTGAAGAGAATGTGGAGTAAAGGAGGTTCTTATACACTGGTGGCAGGAATGTAAATTAGCACAGCTATTATGGAAAGTAATATGGAATTTCCTCAAAAATTAAAAATAGAACTGTCTATATTCCATTCCAATTTCACTTATGGATGTATATTCAAAGAAAATGAAATTAGTATGTCAAAGTGGCATCTGCACTCTTACGTTCATTGCAGCAAACTTTTCCAATTACAGCAAGGGAATCCAAGGACTCCAGAAGGAATGTTCTAAGAAACAAAACAATCACATTTGCTTGCTGTTTATGAAAACGTTGTGGGAAGTTTTACTTAGATGAATGGGTGGGAGTTTAGGCATAAATCAGTGGAAGGTACGTAAAAAAGGAAGTAAACAAACAATAGGACTTGATTAAAGTGAAGCAAAAAAATGTTACACAAAAATGCTTCTTTTATTAATGAGTGTGTGGTTCAGCTATGGATTATTAGATGTAAATCATAATGTCAAATTGAGTAATAAAAAATTATCAATAACTACAGTGGGTGAATATAGGAAAGGGTACATAGGAGAACTCAATCCTCATCTTCCATAGTATGAAGTCAGTAACCACTAATATTGAAAAAAAACAAGAAATAATACTCTATATTATAGTCGAGAAATTTGATAATAAATATCAGAAAAAAATGAGTTGAACATCATTTCCTCTGGAGATCACAGATCAGAGGTGAAGAAGAAACTAGGGGATGGCTACTTTTCTTTATCATTTCTTATAAAGATATTTGACTGTTTAATAAATAAGAAAATAAAATTGAATCATATATTAAAAAATGGCATCAAGCAGATGACTCTACTGTTGAGAACATTCATTCTTCTAGCTCAAACTGAAACTGCCTTTGCAAAACTATGACAGAAAGGGAAATATGCCTCCATCTTACTTCTAGCCTTACAGATTGGATGTCTTTGTCCATTTCTGCATGTGGGCCAAGCTAACTTTGGGAGAAATGTAGTTTACAGTTTAATGATGACATTCCTTGCCAAAATCAAACTCTTCTTGTAAAACAAATGAAAGATTACCAACTTAGGAGGATAAGAGAAGCTTGAATTCTCAATAATAATCAGCCATTATTCTGGAGGTCATAAGATTTGCACTTTCTCCAACTAATCCTTGCAGATAACATCACTGTTGTAGGACCTAAGATTGGCCTTTTGAGATATCTTTTCAGATTTTTACAATTCTGAAAACTGGACAGCCCCACCTAGACCCACCAACCCAGCCCTGTGGCCCCCCACTTAAGCACTGACTCAGCACAAGAGGACAGCTTTGATTCCCTATGATTTTATCTCCAACCCAACCAATCAGCATGCTGCTATCCTAGCCCCATGCCCACCACACTGTCTTTGAAAACCCCCTAACCTCCAAGCCTTTGGGGAGACCAATTTGAGTAAAAACTCCATCTCCCATGTGGCATGACCAGCCTTGCATCAATGAAATTCTTCTTTTACTGCAATGCCATGGTCTCAGAGTTGATTTTGTGTGTGCATTGGGCAGGAAGAACCCACTGGGCAGTTACAAAATTTATGTCATAAAATATAATAATCTTGACTTTTTCTCCAATGGAAAAGTTAAGCCTACTAGTCATAAACTTGTAAGCATAAAGTGAAGCAATGTACATTTTATAATAATCTTTTCATGTAAGAAAACTCAGTGATATTTTCTAGAACTCTTTCTCCTCAAGGAATTGACTTGAGAGTAGAGAAAATATGAAAAGTACACAAATAAGCATAGGATAAATTTTTATGGAGTACTGAATTTATTTAGAAGAAATGACTTGTAAATGTGCTATATTGTGTTGTGTATAGATCAAACAAAATATATCAGAGACATTGGTTGCTACAGGATTGACTTCCTTAAAACTAGTCTGAGCAGGTCACCTTAAGCTCAAAAACATCACTCTATTCCATTGCCTAGAAAATAAGGCTTAAACTTATTTCCTTGACGTTTGATGCTATCTGTGCTCTACCCCGAACTCATATTTCCTAAATAATTTATTGCTATTCTCCCTTGCTGTACCTTTTAATACAGTCAAAATGAGATTGCTGCAATTCCTCATAACCAAAACTTTGTTTCTCCCCTCCAGGATTTTTTTTTCCTATTATAATTTAAAAAATTATTTTATCATAAAACTTAATGTTGTATCTTAAAATTATTTTATACTTAAATTATTAAGTTAAATTCAACTTTAAATATATTTGTATTTGAAATTAATCTATTTTTATTTTAAAAATTAAAAAGAATTAAAAATCAACGGTCCATTAACTTTACATCTCTCTTTTAGCCATTGTAAGATTTATTGCCGAGGTAAAATAAGGAAACTGAGGCAGGTATAAAAAAAAAGTGAGAAGCCAATTTATTCAGCTCCCGGGCAACCTCAGTGGTCCAAGAGGGGCCAAAGAAGTCCCACCCGGCTGTTCAGGGCGTGGGGTTTTATGGGGTGTGCAGGCAATTGATTGGTTACTGGGGAAACAAAGAGAAGGCATTTCTATTGACTGTTGAGGAGTAGGAAGTACATGGAGTTAAAGTAGGAAGTACATGAAACTAGCTGCCATTGGTAGGCGGGCGGGGCTTTAGGTAAGTGGGCCTTGATTGACTACTGGGGAAACAAAGAGAAGGCATTTCTATTGGCTGTTGAGGAGCAGGAAGTACATGGAGTTAAAGTAGGAAGTACATGAAACTAGCTGCCATTGGTAGGCGGGCGGGGCTTTAGGTAAGTGGGCCTTGATCGACTACTGGGGAAACAAAGAGAAGGCATTTCTATTGGCTGTTGAGGAGCAGGAAGTACATGGAGTTAAAGTAGGAAGTACATGAAACTAACTGCCATTGGTAGGTGGGCAGGACCTTGGGTACACGGGCCTGCTGGGGCATCCCGGGCAGGCTGTTGTTGGGCAGCGGATGGTGGGGCTTCTTTTTAAAAAAAAATTCTCTGCAGGGTTTTTTAACAGTGGGCTGGAGGTTGGATGCATAATTTAGTGCTGAGTGTGGGCTTGGGCATGGTATGCAGAGGCGGGTGCAGGGGAAGCTTTGTGGGAAAGCCAGTTAATGAGCTCGGGTGATGATGCAGTTATCAGGTGTGGAGAGTGATGAATGTGTCCATTTGACTCCCGGCAAGGCAACCAGCCTTACAGGCATCATCTGATCTTTTATCCTTTAGAGATATCTTCTTGAAAGTGAAGCTGCATTGTTATCTAAGGTAAATACCCAAGGTTCGCTGTTTCACACCAAGGGAATCAAGGATACAGACACACAATAAATGGGTTTAGGAGCAGAGGTTTAATAGGCAAAAGAAAGAGAATGGAGAATAGCTCTCTCTCCTGGGAAAAAGAAGGGTGCCCAATTGGGACTTCAGGTCATGGCAGAGTGCACTAGGTTTTATAGGCTGACTTGAGGAGATGGCGCCTGATTTACACAGGGCCCAAAAATTGGTTGGACCATGTGTGACCTTTTCTTTTCTTCCTCCCTCCTTCCCTCACTCCCTCTCCTCCCTTTCCTCTTTCCTTTCTTCCTTCCTTTCTTCCCTCCTTCCTTCCTTCCCTCTCTCTCTCCCTCCCTCCTTCTTTCCTTCCTTTCTTCTTTCCCTTCCTCCTTCCTTCCCTCCCTCCGTCCCTCTCTTCCTACTTCCTTCCTTTCTTTCTTTCTGGCTCTGTGGGACATTCTATTTCTTTTGTAATATCACATGAAGAAGCTGGCCACCCTACTCTAATCTTTTATTATGCAAATGTGTTTTCTACAGGGCTGGCACCATATTGTCTGCTCCCTACTGTAAACATGGTTGGCAAGGAATAGAGAAGATGGAGCCACCATGTCGAATATGCCTAGCCCCCAGGTAGCTTTTTCATATTGGCACTGCTGATATTCACCTGTGCAAGCTTCCAGCTTGCTTATCTATGTCTGCAGCTTGATTTTACAGGCTGCTGTTAGAAAAGAAATGATTTGGAGGCTGCTTTTCATTAAAAGGAAACCCTTACCAAGAACTTTCTTACCCTCACTATCTGCCTAAATAATTTCTCTCTAACTCCTATATCAAAAGGACTGAAAGATGTTTTTTAGGTTTAATTAGGAGGTCTTAGCCCACCTTAGCAAAAGCAGACTCAGTGGAGTTCTAGAAAGTTGTATAGGTAACAAAAGATAAATAAGAAATCAGAGTAAATGCATGGAGATACTTCCAGGCTAGCAGTCAGCATACTTCTGTAAAAGGCCAGATTTTTAGATAGGTTTCCTTCCTTCCTTCCTTCCTTCCTTCCTTCCTTCCTTCCTTCCTTCCTCCTTCCTTCCTTCCTTCCCTCCTTCCTTCCTTCCCTCCTTCCTTCCTTCTCTCCTTCCTTCCTTCCTTCCCTCCCTCCCTCCTTCCTTCCCTCCCTCCTTCCTTTCTTCCTTCCCTCCCTCCTTCCTTCCCTCCTTCCTTCCTTCTTTCCTTCCCTCCTTCCTTCCCTCCTTCCTTCCCTCCTTCCTTCCCTCCTTCCTTCCCTCCTTCCTTCCCTCCCTCCCTCCTTCCTTCCCTTCCTCCTTCCTTCCTTCCTTCTTCCTTCCTTCCCTCCTTCCTTCCTTCCCTCCTTCCTTCCTTCCCTCTTCCTTCCTTCCCTCCCTCCCTCCCTTCTTCTTTCCCTTCCTTCCCTCCTTCCTTCCTTTCTTCCCTTCCTCCTTCCTTCCTTCCTTCTTCCTTCCTTCCCTCCCTCCCTCCTTCTTTCCCTTCCTTCCCTCCTTCCTTCCTTCCTTCCTTCCCTCCCTCCCTCCCTCCTTCCTTCCTTCCTTCCCTCCCTTCCTCCCTCCCTCCCTCCTTCCTTCCTTCCTTCCCTCCCTCCCTCCCTCCTTCCTTCCTTCCTTCCCTACCTTCCTTCCCTCTCTCCCTCCTTCTTTCCCTCCCACCTTCCTTCCCTCTCTCCCTCCTTCTTTCCTTTCTTCCCTCTTTTCCTTCCTCCTTTCTTATCTTACCTCCCTCCCTCCCTCTCTCCCTCCTTCCTTTCTTTCTTTCTGGCTTTGTGGAGCATTCTATTTTTTTTTAATTACTCAACTCTGCCAGTACACAATGAAAACAGCCATGCATGATACATACATAAACAGCACAGCATGGTTGTGTACCAGTAAAACACACATTTGGCTCAAGGAATGCAGTCTGCTGCCCTTTTTCTAATGTCGCCACATAGCCTCTTCCACAAGTTACTTAACTGCAGCACAGGCACAAAGGGCACTGTCTTCTCCAACAAGAAAAGATTAGAAAAAAGGAGACCTGGAGCAGAGGTGACATTGGAAACACACTTAAGTCCAAGAAATGAGCCAACTGAGCACAAAGTAATACTATAATAGTGTTAAAATCACAAAATTTAAAAATCTAGTCAAATTCTCTAATTCTATAGTTGCTAAAACCAAGGCCCAGAGACAAATGTGACAACGACACACCTGGGACACAGTAGGTGCTTAACATATTTCCGATGAATTATTAAGCTGCTCAAGGCTGGATCCGTAATAAGAAGCACACCTAAGAATATGATTCAGGTTTTGAGATTCACATGTAGAGTATTATTCTGCCTGACAGGTAAAATAATATTCTACATGTGAATCTCAGGTTGACCTGACCTCAACATTACAGGGAAAATATTTCCCACGTGTGTGAGCTAGCATGATTATTACCAGCATAGGTTAAGTTATGCTGTGCTTAACAAACAGCTCAAATAACACTTTTCTTTTCTATGTAATCTACATACCTATAGAGGGAGGACAAGGACTCCCCCCATTTTAGTCTTTCAGGGATGCAGATGAAGGAGGTTCCAACCTGGCTGCAGAGTCCTTACCATTAATTGTTATACCATGCTGCTGTAATGGTGACTAATTAATAAAAGCAGAGAGTTTAATAGCTCACTGTAGCTGCTAATATGATTCCACTTATTTCACGGTATCCAGCATCTGGGGAGTGTTTAAAAAGTGGTCAGGTGCTGAAAACGTTGTCAGGGATTTAAGGGTCTGGAAGTACAGATTACTTGAAAACCCTCCAGCTACAAACACTAAGAATTGCTCAATAAATTATAACTAACATCCTTATAAATGCATGGCTGAACTGCTAAGAAAGGCAGAAAAACTGCCTTGGGCCAGAAATGAAAAAGAAACTAAAAATCAGGACAGTGAACTGCAGAGCTGACACTGTGTCTGCTCTGGGATATTTATTGCTCTAAGTAACATAGGTGCTGAAACTCAATACCAGTGTATGGATGGGGAGAACTGGGACTGAGACCTGCATCTTCTAGAGTGTTATTTCTTTGGTTTTGGGCAACAGGAAGCCTCAAAATTTGTGGGAAGAATGATAAATTTACACGACTGCTTTGAAGAGCAATGTGACAATGCCTAAGGAATTTGAACATGTGCATCTTTATGACCAAGCAATTCCTTTGGCAGATTAATACCCCAGAGAAATTCTAGGCCACGAAAAATTCAAACACGAACAAGACTTTTATTGCAGCATTGTTTGCATTAGTAAAAACTTGAAACAAGAGAATGGATAAATGAGTTGTGCTCTAATCACACAATAGAATACGCAGAGCAGTGAAAATCAATGTACTGCAGACGTATATCATTAGGGATAATTCTCAAAGTTTTACTTTCATGGAAAAAGCAGGATGAATGAGTTGCAGGGTATTCGCAGCATTGAGCTGTAGAAAGTGAAAAGCATGTGATACCTCTCCTCACCCCTTATAACAGTCCCAGCCAACACTGCTATCACAAAAGACAAGTTAACAAGAGAAAAGCGCAAAAAATGATTTACTTAAAGTTTTATGTGACATGGAAGCTGTTGGAATGAAGATCCTAAGATACAGGAAAAATTATCCATTTTTATGCTTAGGTTGAATGAAGAATGACTAGCTGTACGGAAAAGTCACTGGAAAAAAGGGTGTGATCCAATAGATTGAGCTGGGAAAACATAGCAAGGCCTGTCCAGATTTCTCTTGGCCTCTCAGTGGCATTCTCTCCACCTGGGTATGGAGCAGAAACTTCTAGAACAGCAGTCTCAAGATATAGTATCAGACAAGGATAGGTCAGAGATTCTAACTCCTAGACAGAAAGGTAGGAAGGGAGGTTAGCATAATATTCCTTTTTCTCATGGCTGACTTTGTGGAATAGGGGCTCTAGTTTCTATGACCCGCCTTGGGAAGAGGATCCCGGTTTCTGTGACTTGCTTCCAGGGAGACTCAGGGGTGAGAGCCAGGAGGTCGGAGAAGGTCAGAGTGACCTTGGTCCTGAGACTGCTTCTGAGGCACTGCAGATGTTCATTAGATCAGTAGTTCCCCACCTTTTTGACACCAGGAACTGGTTTTGCTAAACAGTTTTTTCCATGGACTGAAGAGGGGTTGGTTTCTGGATAATTCAAGTGCATTCCACTTATTGTGCACTTTATTTCTATGATTATTACATTACATATAATAAAATAAGTATACAACTCATCATAATGTAGAATCAGTGGAAGCCCTGAGCTCATTCTCCTGCAACTGGAAAGTCCCATCTGGAGGTGATGGAGACAGTGACAGATCATCAAGCGTTAGATTCTCATATGAAGCACACAACCTAAATCCTTCGCATGTGCAGTCCATAATAGTGTTTGTGCTCCTATTAGAATCTAATGCTGCCACTGAGCTGACAGGAGGTAGAGCTCAGGCAGTAAAGCCAGTGATAGCAAGTGGCTATAAATACAGAAATACAGATGAAGCTTTGCTTGCTCACTGCCGCTCACCTCCTCCTGTGAGGTTCGATTACACAGATCACGGACTCCTGCTGGTCTGTTGCCTGGGGGTTGGGAGCTCCTGTGTTAGTTGGAAGTGCTCAGCAGACCAAAGTGCCATACTTTGGATTATCAATTTCTGAGGCCCAACAAAGTCTAATGCTGAACCATAGATAATCAGAAAGAATTTTTTTTAAAAAAATATAATCCTTAACCCCATGAAAGGAAGAAAGAACAAAGCAAAAAAGGACTTCTAATTACTCCTCTCAAAAGTGAAAGCAACACCAGTGTTGTAGATGTAATTGGCTTCCCCGTGGCCCAGCTCCCACTCTGCACACAGGCAGACCCTCAACACAGAGCTCACAGTATAGCAAGAAAGACAAAAGGAACACTTACTGAATATTTCCTAAGTACAGGGAGGAAGTAAACTAAGGCAAAAATTACACAAAATTGTGTTTATATATCTTGTTTATTTCACCAAAATTCAAATCAACTCAACATAGCTCTTTCTCTTCACAGAGCATCTTTGGCTCTTTCTGGCCTCACCCAGTGTCTCATTTCCTGAAGCCATGCAGATGCACATAGCTCCAAACTAATGCATACTCATTTATTTCCCCTTTGCTTTTAAACTTGCATTTTTACTTCATTATTCAGCTAACCAAATGAAGGCTCCTTTTTGAAATTTTTTAAAAAGTGTGTGCGTGTGTGTGTGTGTTTCATAACATTTTTTTTCACAGTTAAAAAAAATTCGGGATCCAAGAGGACCTTAGAATCAACAAAAATTAACAATTATTGTTAATTATTATTATTATTATGTTCTGAGACAGGGTCTTACTCTGTCACTCAAAGTGAAGTGAGGTGCCACAATCATAGCTCACTGGAGCCTCAGCCTCCTGTGTCCATGCGATCATTCCATATAAGCCTCCTGAGCAGCTGGGACCACAGGTATGCACCACTACAACTGGCTACATTTTTCTTTTTTGTAGAGACAAAGTCTTGCTATGCTGCCTAGACTGGTCTCAAACTCCTGGGATCAAATGATCCTCCAACCTTGGCCTCCCAAACTGCTGGGATTATAGGTGTGAGCCATCATGGCCAGCCTTGTTAATTCTTAAAATAATACCTTTATTAAGATATATGTCACATACCAGATAAATCACCTATTTAAAGTATACAAGTGAATAGCTTTTAGAATATTCACAGAGTTGTGCAACCATCAGCAAAATACATTTGAGAGCATTTTCATCCCATGGAAAAGAAGCTGTAAATCCATTAGTAGTCATTTCCTTTCCTCCACCCTGTTCCTGTCCTGCCCTCACATGCATCTCCCTGCAATACCTTCCTGCCTTCCTTCCAGTCCCAGGCAACCAGTAACCTACTGTCTCTAGAGAATTGCCTGTTGTGGTTATTTTATACCGATGGAATCATACAACATGTGCTGTTTTGTGACTGGTTGCTTTCATTTGGTATAATGTTTTCAAGGTTCATCCATGGTGTAACACCTATCAGTACTACATTCATTTTTATCACCAAATAATATTTCATTGTATGGACATACCACATATTATATAGGCTTTTAGCAGGTGATAGATATTTGGGTATTTGGATTGTTTTCAGTTTCTGGCTGTTAAGAATATTGCTGCTACAAACACTCATATAAGTTTTCATGTGGTCACGGAATTTCATTTTTCTCGAATGTAAAGGTAGCGATGGAATTGGTAGATTGTTGGTGGGAGACCCCGCAAGTGCCAAGGCAAGGGTCTGAAGCCTCAGCCTGTTCCCATATCAATATTGAATTAGAAAAGAATTAAAGATATAGTCCCATAGTTATTCCTATATATAATCATAATCACGTAGTTATTCATATTTAATCATATATATAAAATATACTCAACATAACCTTTTAATGTTACTAATGACTCTCAGGCCATGAAGCAGGGAACTGAAGTAACATTGTGAAAGAGATGGCCCTAAGGCAAGATGCTGTAAGCCCTCTGTCATGCCCGCCTAAGGGCTGAAGAGAGTCATGGTTGTGCGGCAGTGCCAGCGCTGGGAAAGCACCCACTGTTTAGCCAGCTATGGAAGGAGACGTCCAAGATGTCTCCTTCCTCGGAGGAGTTAGGAGAAAACTCCGCTCCCCCAGGCTCTTGCAGTAGGCCTGACAGCTGTCAGGGAAGCCCACAGACATCCAGGGGCTTAACTGTCTCTATGTGATGCTGTGCTTCAGCGGCCGCGTTCCATGTCTTCTTTCATGTTCTGCTTTTGCACCTGGTTCCTCTTTTTCTTAGAAGATAAGAATTAATAAAAGTAACACAAATCTTAATGTCTTTGCTCTTTCTTGACAAGTATGGAAAAAGTGCTGACGCATTAGGTTTTCTCCTCAGCTTGGCTACTTGAAAATCCTGGGGCTATATCTCCAAGACACCTGATTTCCTTGACCCTAACACTGACCACCAATGACTCACCCTACCTACCCTGCCCCCTGCTTTGTACTCCATAAAAGTCAGAGTATCCAAGCACTCGGGGCCACTTCCGGACTCCAAGGTTTGGTTGGCAGTGGACCCCTGGGCCCAAACTCTCTTTCTGTTGACCTCTGTGTCTTGTGTCTTTATTTCCACAGTTTCTCATCTCCACAGGAGACTCTGTAGGGCTAGACCCTATACTGGATCACTCAATAAGTCTACATTTAATCTTTTGAGAAACTGCCAGACTTTTTCAAAGTGCTTCTACTGGCAGTTTATGAGAGTTTCAGTTTTTGGATACTTGGCCAGTGCTGTCTTTTTTATTAGGTAGAGCTACCCTAGTGAACGTGAAGTGGTACCACATTGTGGTTTTGATATGTGTTTCCCTAAAAGATAATGGTGTTAGGTATGTCTTTATGTGTTTATTGGCCATTTGTATATCTTCTTTGAAGAAATGGTTATTCAGCCATGTTGCTATTTTTTATTTGGGCCATTTGTTATTTTTATTATTAAGCGATAAAACTTATTTACATATTGCAGACACAAGTTCCTTATCAGATATATGATTTGAAAACATATTCTCTCATTTTTTAATTTTTCTTTTTGCTTTCTTAATGCTGTTCTTTGCTTCAAAAAGGTGTTTATTTTGATGACATCCAATTTATCTGTTTCTGTCCTTTGTTCTTTTGGTGTTATATCTAAGAAGACATTGTTTAACCCAGTGTCACCATGATGGATGCCTGTGTTTTCTTATAAAAGAGTTACAGCTTTGGCTCTTAAATTTAAGCCTTTGATCCATTTTGAGTTAATTTTTGTATCTAGTGTGAGGTAGAGGTTCAATATCATTCTTTTGCATGTGGATACCCAGTTGTCTGAGCACAATTTATGAAAATATTATTTTTCTCTATTGAATTGTCTTTATACTCTTACCTAAAATCATTTGACCATCACTGTGATGCTTTATTTAGAGACTCAATTCTTTTCCATCAATATATATGTCTGTGCCTATGCCAGTACCACACTGCTTTGATTACTGTAGAACTTTGTAGTAAGTTTTGAAATTGGAAATGTGAGTCTTCCAATTTTGTTCTTTTTCAAGATTGTTTTGGTATTCTGGGTCTTTTGCATTTCCATATGATTTCAGGATCAGCTTGCCAATTTCTGCAAATAAAAAAAATTCAGTTGGAATTTAGAAGAGAATTGTATTAAATATGTAGATCAACTTGGAGAGTGTTGCCATCTTAACAATATTAAGTCTTCCAAATTCATGAATACAGAATATCTTTCATTTCATCTTTTTTTTGTTGTTTTTTTTTGAGACGGAGTCTTGCTCTGTTGTCCAGGCTAAGTGCAGTGGCACAGTCTCGGTTCACTGCAAACTCTGCCTCCTGGGTTCAAGCAATTGTCCTGCCCCAGCCTTCCAAGTAGCTGGGACTACAGGTGCCTGCCAACACACTGGGCTATATTTTATCTTTTATTTAAATCTTTCATTTCTTTCACCAATGCTTTGCAGTTTTCAGAGAAAAAGTTTTATACTACTTTTTTTTGTGTGAGACAAGCAAGATGTTACTCTGTGGCTGAGCCTGGAGTGCAGTGACAAACATGACTCACTGTAGCCTCGATCTTCCAGGCTCAGGCGGTCCTCTCCTCTCAGTACTGTGCTCTGCCCCTGTCACCCTTTCTCGCCCCCAACCTCTCCACCCCTGCCCCCAGGTAGCTGGGACTCCAGGCATGCACTTCCACACCTGGCTGATATTTTGTAGAGACAGGGTTTTGCCATGTTGTCTGGTCTGGTTTTGAACTCCTGATCTCAAGCAGTCCTCCCGCTGTGGTCTCCCAAATTGCTGGGATTACAGTTGTAAACCATCGCATCTGGTCGATACTACTTTTGTTAAATATATTTCTAATTTTTTCACTTGCTTTTGACTGTGTTGTAAATCGAATCATTTTGTTAATGTTACGGGATTTTTTCGTTCATTGAAGATGTATAGAGATACAATTGCTTTTTGCATATTATTCCTGTATCTTGCAACGTTTCTAAACTCCTTTATTGGTTCCAATGTGCTTTTTTTGTGGATTTTTTAGAATTATATATAAACAAGATCATGTCATTTCAAATAGAGATAGTTTTACTTCTTGCAATCAGGATGATTTTCTTGCCTAATTGCCCTGGCTAGAACCACTAATACAAGGTTTAATAGAAGTGGTAAGATGTCATTTTAAGCCTATGTTTCTCCCAGATTATTTTCTTATGATTTGTGGTAAGGTAGTAAAATAAAAGAGCTGTGACTTCTTTTCTTAGGAGCAGTAAAGGAAGAATGAATGTGGCAAATCACACACTGCTCTACAGCCACCGTCTGAGAAAAGCTAAAAGGGAGAAAGAGTAAATGGTCACCATGAGCAACAGGAAAGCAAGGAAAGCAAACTGGGGCTCTGGCTCCTCTTTCAGAAACCAAAAGGAATGCAGAGACTGATTAAGCCTGAAGCATGGTCTTGAGAATTAACAATATGAAAGCTTGCACCAGTTCCTTGTTAAAGTGTAAAGCTCATTCTTTCTAGAATATGCACCAACTGACACAGGATTACCACACAAGCAAGGGTATTTAGATCCAGAAGTTATGGCTGGAGAAAAAAACATCATTAAAAAGTCTCAAATTTTGTTGGTTGTTTTTATATAATGCATGCTCATCAAAAATCAAATTCATGGGTATTATTAAATGATCTTAATTATGAGTATATTTTTTAAACTAGGCTTAGGATGCTTGTGATATGTTAATGTCTTTTTCTTGAGTTTGTAAATAAATAGATATCATCAAACATAATTTTAAATGTATTAGATGTCAACAATTATTTTTAAGCTAGTTCTCCTTTTTGATATTGGCATTTGAAGGCTGTCAACTTATTAAATAATAATCTTTTATTCAACTGATGATTGAAATATCCAATTTTTCTTAGGTGCCATTTCTGAAGGGTGAAATGGCAGCTATTTTAAACTAGATATAAGACAAATGAGAGAGCCAGGCCAAAGTTTTTGTGGTCAGACTTTGCTTCCCTTTAAAATGGGGTAAAGCAAGAGGAGGAAATATGAGTAACTTCTGAAATATCTTTTAATGTAGTCAACAATGACATAGCTAATATTTATTGAGCATTTACTCCTTGGTAGGCATTGAGCTAAGTGTTGACATATTCTCATATATACCTCACAATAACTCTTTGGTGTAGGCCTATTAGTCTGATTTAATTTTCTATCAGAGAGAAATGAAGCTTTGAGAAGAACTTGCCAAAATATAAAGCTGGTATGTACTAGAACGAGGATTCAAATCCATGGAAGTCTATTCTGTGTTCTTTTGTGTAATAGTTACTCATTGGTGGGCTCTAATTTATACAGGTAGGCTCTAAGAGCCTAGCATCTGACCCTGGGACGGTTGGGGCAGAGAGGAGTATTGTCTCCTGGAATGTATGGGTCACATAGAGGAGGTGTGGCCCTAGAATGGTTATTTTTTACATGAAAGACAATGATCCCTGAGCTCTTTGTTATCTCTAAGAATTGACTAGCTCTGGGAGGGGCACTCTCCACAGCCAGAAAGGTTTTAAGAGGTTAAAACATTATATTCCAGAGTCTATAAGTTTTAAGTATTCTCCAACATCATCTCTTGTATTCTAAAAAAAATTATCAGTGAGAAACTAGTTTAAAAAGGTATATTACAATGTGCAAACACCTTTTCATGTTGTTGAAATGTCTGAGATTGATCAGATGCATTACGAGTCCATTAAACAACATTATTAATTATGTTTCTAGATGCAAATAGCTTTGAATGTAAAAACATTATAACAATAATAAAAAGAAATTGAAGTGTTACTGGAACCTGACAAAGAGTCTCTCCTTGACCATACTTTAGTCAGGCTTCTCTTAACACTCTTCCCAACTAGACCCCAACTTTTGGGCTGCTTTGCCCATCTTTGCATTGCCTAATTTTAGCAAGAATTCTACTAAATTGATTTAGCCACAATCCCCCACTTATCCCTAATGTTTCCTCTTAGTAATTTTTCATCCAATGACTTCTACTCTTCATTTTGGCATTGATTTCTCACTGTTCCTTGTTGTGTTTTGAGTTGAGCCCAATCTCTGTCCCTTACTGCAAAACCCAATAGCAGCAGTCCACTTATTTACTGCAATAGGCCTGAATAAAATCTTCTTTACATCTTAACAAATTTCATGAATAATATACTTTGAACAGTATTCAAAACAATAACAATTGAAGTTGACCCTGTATAATAAAATAAAATAACATGTATTTGGAATTAGACTGATTTGGATTTGGATTTGGCTTTCCCATCAACTAGTTTGGTATGTTATTGAATGCTACTGATCTCAGTTTTTACATCTGTAAAATGCAGACTGATAATTGTTGACAATTGTGGATCACACACTTGTCAGCAAGTAACTAACCCATATTTCAATCTTAAGTTTCATACCAAAGCCAGTTTAACTTCCTTAGAGATAATTACACTCCAAGGGAGATAAAAATGTCAAAGGGCACTTAAATATCAGCACATGTACTGAACAAACGTAAAGAAAGATAATTTGTTCTGGGGAGCAGAGAGAACACATTTTAGAAAACTTTTATCATATATTTCATTCAAGGAGATGCCATTTTGTTGCTACCTAATTTTAATTTCTAATTGGAGGGAGACTATTTTGAAATTAAATATCAATGAAATGTATAATAAGATTTACCATATTTCCTTGTCCTATTTGAATACTGAAATATCCTTACTATCATTGTTTTATTAAGACACATGTTTAATATAATGCCATTTTATTAAAGATAATGATTGAAAAGGAGAAAAAATGATTTTCTTTTGATAATACTTTTGGTAAATCACAGCATATGAGTCAATGTTGAGAGTGGAAAATAACCATCCTAAGCTATATGAAATCTTGTGTTTGGTGGCAATGATTTGATATAAAAATATGCCTAGGAATATGAAGGGTCAAGGGTAAGCCATTACAGACAAAAGGATGTTAGAATATGTTTTAGAAAGTGAATGTAGCAGAAAATATTTGTTATCAACTTTAGTAGGAAACTTAGTTTGTCCTTAGACATCACAATTATGCACAAATATTTCAGGCTCAGTCTCCAAGATGAGTGAAACATCCTTTAAAAAAGATGAGAAGAAAAGGGAGAAAAGAAGAGAGAAAAAGAAAAGGGGAAAGAAAAGTCACAAATTGAAGAGGAGAGGCTCAGAGAAAGACATAAAGGCATATCAATGCTGTTATTTGACTATATTTAAATACTTCAAAAATACTTAGAATTTTTTAAACAAAATTAGACTTCATTATGTTTATATAAAAGGAACTTAAGTATAAATGACTGAGAACTTGATTATGCCAAATTACCTAATAAGTTACCAGCATTTTATTCATTCATTCTTTCTTTAATTCATTCATCCTTCTATCTCTTCACTCCATTCATTCATTCATTGAACATTTTGTTTCCTAATCCTCCCAGACAAAGTTAGTAAGTTTAATTCCTGGTCTTTACGACCGCATCATAAATCTTTTGTCGCAGATATATAATAAGTAAGTGTATTTCCCTGACCTTTGTGGAAACTTAACTTATCCTTAGACACCACAAAATTCTCCTTCTTCCAGGACTGAAACCATCTGAGGGTTGAGGGGTGGGTCTTATCCATAGGAAATAGGCTAACAACATCTGCTTTGGAAAAAGAGGTTTGCTGACTACATTATTATAGTTTCCATAAGTGTTTTTGCAGGGAGCTAAGTCATCCGATTTTATTATATTTTTTGAATTTAAATTTCCTTTAGGTAATGGTGGCTCCACTAATTCTGCTAAAAGTACCTTTAACCCTTAATGCAGAGGTTGTTGTTGTGATGTGCTTCATTATGACTGAGCATTAGCTGGCATTTACAGAGATCTGAGTTTAAGAAATACGTCCCATGTTGCTTATTCCTTGATAGTGAGACTAGAGCAATAGTACCTCCTGTCCTAGGCAGAGCGCCGGGCTCCCCAGGGTGCACACCAAGTAGAATTGTTGTGCCTTACGACATCATCTTTTGTTTGCTTAGTTGCTGTTATTTCCTCCTCCTTTCCAATAAATTCAGTATCATGTTACAGTATCCTATAACAGTTTTCATGGCTCAAGGTTTGTTTTTCTCCTTCCAACAAAGACTCTTGAAAAATAAAGACAATATGCTCTTGGCAACTGTAAGCAAAAAGCATATCAAGGTCAACAGACTATGGGCAATTAATATCAAGGGTAGCTCCATAGTCTGATATCTATAAATTTCCTTTCAATGATTCATGACAACAAAAATTAACATGTTATAAAACATACTGACATAAATTAATGTCTTTTAGATGAAGACTGCTTATATCCATTTCACATATTAAAAAATAAATATTAAAATCTAATAAGTAAAAGTGGAAATTAAAGAGATAGAAATGCAGTTTCAGAAGGCCGAATGGCAGGATTTCACAAGCTGGCACCGTCATTTGAGCTGTCAATTTAGTAAATCCAGTAAGTTGATATTTTCCACACAGAATCAGGGCAAGACCTGTAATTCAAGCACTTTGGGAGTCAGAGACAGGAAAATCACTTGAGGTCAGGAGTTCAAGACCAGCTTATGCGATGTAGTGAAATTCCCGTATCTACAAAAAATACAAAAATTAGCTGGGTTTGGTGGTATGCACCTGTAGTCCCAGCTACTCAGGAGGCTGAGGTGGAAGGATCACGAGAGCCTGGAATGTCAAGGCTTCAGTAAACTATAATCATGCGACTGCACTCCAGCCTGGGGGACAGAGTGAGACCCTGTCTCAAAAATGTAAAACAAATTAGTTCCAAGGTGGCTGATTAGCCATTATTCAAACCCACAAGAGACAATATATTCATTTATGCTGTCTCCTACCCATACACTTCCTTTCCCATACCCACACACTGGGGAAGTCAAATTAGTCATCAAAACACAGCTTGGTCAAAACTAATTCAAAGCAAAGGGAAGTGGTACTCTTGCAACGTTGGTAGTAGGGGTTAGGGTGTTTAATACATCACTGGGGTTCAAGAGACTCTGCTACTTACTAGCTATGACCTTGGGCAGGTTAATTACCTGCTAAGTGTCTCAGTTTCCTCACCTAAAAAAATGGGGATAATAGTAGTACTTGCTTCATGAAGTTGTTTTGAGAATTGAACGAGTTGAGGGAGTATATAACATACTCGTACCAATATCTAGTATATAGTAAATGCTGTATGTGAGCTTATTTGCATTAGTTGTGTGAGGCATTTCAGGTAAAAATGAAGAAAACTCTCTAGGTGCACCTTCCATTTATGGCCAGATTATTCATATGTGCTGAGTTCCTTGGGAAGATATTTTACTTTTTTTGTTACAAAGTGGCAAGGTGAAAGAGAAACAGAAAGAGGATAAATATGCTTCAGAGATAGAAGCCTAAATTCAAGAAATCCATATAGAACATCTCTGCTTTCTGACTTCAATATTTAATTAATTTTCAATGGATTACATTGCTAATACTTCCTAATTGGGTCAACTGGACTTTTCAGCATTGTTCCCTCATCTCTCCAAAAACTATTTGTTTAAGGAGCTGTGCAAGCTGTCTTACAAATGGAGTTGGACAACGGCTTTAGTGCATTCTATAAATTGGATTCTGTACATCTGTAAATTATGCTGACAAGCACTTCTATAACACAATGAGGTCAAAACAGTCTCACTGAAAATGGCCTTTTCATGCTGTATCCAAGCCAAAAGCGGGGAAAGGATCATAAACGTACCATGTCATATGTGCAGAAGAAAGTTGTTAAATTCAATCCAAGACAATGGTTACCTTTCAGCCAATTTTAAAGGGACTAAATAATACAAATCTTAAACCATATACTAATAGGATCTTAATTAAAGGGATGTTTAGGAAGAACTTATTATATGAAAATATACTGTGTTACACACTGCAAGTATAAGAAATTATTGATACAGTTCATGATTTTAGAGAGTTTACAGTTTAAAAGAGGAACCAAAATATGCATGCAATTGACTAAATGAAACAAAACACAGTATAAATGCCATGAGTCAGAGGAAAACTTTAGATTGAAAGAACACAGAAGGATTGAATTGATACTCTAAAATTTAATTCATTCATTTAATTGCTATTTCTGGAGTATCTACTATGTGTCAAGTCATGAGACATAGCTGGTCCTATGAAAGGATGCTAATATCTATAAACTCATTTTTTGACTAGTTTTCAGGTTACAGGGTAGAGAGGGGAAATAGCTTCAGCTTCAGAGTTAGAAAAACCTGAACTAAAATGTTGCCCTACCAATGATACACTGGGGGACTTGAGCAAATAATTTGTCATCTTTGATTTCCTCTGTTAACCTCATCCTTCATTTAGTTAATCGATACATTTGTCCTTAACTATGTCTGGAATACATCCCTTTCTCTTTTACCCTATACCTTAAGTCCTAACAATGACCACATCATTTGTTACAGATTCTGTAGCCTAACGAGTCACTTCTCATTATTTACAAGATGTAAGTCTATTATTGTTAAAGCATTTAAGACTTTCAATGAGCTGAACTCTGCTTACATTTTTAACATCATGTGATAATACTCCTCCGCATACACTCTACATATCTTTAATTACCAGCCTGTGGTGTGTCTCTGTGCCTCTGTACATACTATTTTTTTTAAGAGATAAGATCTTGCTTTGTTCAGGCTGGAGTGCAGTGGAGCAATTACTGCAATCTCAAACTCCTGGGCTTAACAGATCCTCCTACCTCAGCCTCATGAGTAGCTGAGACTATTTTATTTTTAATAGAGATGAGGTCTCACTAACCTGCCCAGGCTGGTCTCAAATTACTGGGCTCAAGTGATCCTCCTGTCTTGGTCTACTAAAGTGCTGGGATTACAGGTGTGAGCCACCATGCCCAGCATCTAATGCCATTATTTGTATATACGGTGATTGCCTCAACAAGACTAAGCAACTGAGGACAAAGACAAGGCCTTTCACCTTTAAATTTTCAGTCCTAACATAATGTCTGCCATGAAGAAACTATGTAATAAATATTTATTATACTAATGAAGTCATGTTTGGGGATAAGTAGGAAGAACCAAGAAGTGCTTTATGAAGGAGGTAATATTTAATGTCAGCCTTGAAAAACTTTAAAAATATTCCCTGAATTTTAAATATGCAATTTTGGGATGTTCAGTGTTTTAACATACATAAATGTCTTCATGATTCTCTTCTTTCTTTTGACTGAGTCTTGCTCTATGGCCCAGCCTAGATGCAGTGGTGCAATCATAGTTCACTGCAGCCTCGAACTCCTGGGCTCAAGGGGGCTGCTGTCTCAGTTTTCCCAGTAGCTGAGACTGTAAGTGTGCACCACTGTGTCTATGCCCAGCTAATTAAAAAAAATGTTATATATATATATATATATATATATATATATATACACACACACACATATATATTAGAAATGGGCTCTTTTTCTGTTGTCCAGTTTTGAATTCCTGGCCTCAGGTGATCCTTCCACATAATTGGGATTACCGACGTCAGCCTCTGCACTTGGCTTCATTCTTTCCTTAAAACATAACATTTTACCAGCTGAAGCTTTAGCTCTTCTATTCAAGGCCCTAAGTGTAATGGTCTGAACATGGTAAAGACTTAATAAGTATCTTAATTACCTCATTTAAAGAAGCATCCTCCTGATGCCTCTTAAAAGAGAAAGACTCTTGATTTCAGGAAGGTATCATCTTGGTTTTCCAGTATCATTTGGTATAAAAAATAGCAGACTTTTTAGCTGGGTCGTAGATGGCCTTCCTAATGGCTCTACACCATACCTTTTAGCAAATAGAAATGTTGGTATTCACTCTGTGTATTTAATTTCTTCTGGACATGTTAAAAAACACATAAATAAGTGTACCTTCTAACCACAATGGAAAGCACGAGGCAACCCTGGGCACCTCACTGCTGTTTAATTTAACTCTCCCTAGGCAGATCGTGACTCCAGTTGTCGAAGTATTAAGGTGGAGATCTTTCCACCTTGGATCATGTCCATTTCAGGTTACCAGGGATGGTTAAGGTCCTAGCTGTTCTAGCAGATTTCTTATGTCTTAATACATGAAATTAACAATAGTTCCTGGGATATTCCACTCTTATCTATTTCATGTTTCCACATATTTAAAATACAGAAGGAAAGTATGAACACCAATAAAGAAATTATGAGTAATAGAAATCCAGAACACAGGGAAGAAAGAAAAAGTATATACTGCGGCAGTCAGCTTTTAGGAAAACTATTTCCATCATTCTGAATATTCATATTTATTAAAAATAAATCTAATTTTGGCAGCATATCATGGGTAGGAGCCAGGGAAATCGTCATGGGGACCTAAATTAGTATTTTATTTCACAAGAGAGCTCTGTGAGGAAACCTGGGTTATCTGCAAATCTTCGACTCGGAAATCCCTGCATATTAAGAAAGGTATTGGCTAAATTTGAGCAGCTCACGCAGCATCTAGAGGAAACACTGTTAAGTGGGATAGTGAAGCGTCTGAGATGCGGTTATAGGTATACAAACATAACTCAAGGCGCGGATTAGGAAGGCCAACTTTGAAGGGCAGTCTCCCTGTCAAATGCGGAAGGTCTGCTTTCAGTGTTTGAGCGTCTGCACTTGGGGAGTTTTCAGCTGGGTTCTCAGCCTGGTTTCACCTGTCGACTTGCTCCAGGCCAAACCAGATTTTGAAAAGGAAGGCAACTTCTTTTTGGCGGCAAACCCTTTGACCCACCCACCTTCTCACAACTCTGCCCTTCGCAACCCCTGAGCTAGTGTAGGCAGGGCGGAAGGCGCTGAGGAGAGGCTCAGAAGGGGCGGTGGGGACGTGGGGACGATCCCCTTTCGAACTGCATTTGTAGCTGCCAAGGAGTAGCCAACAAGCACCAGATTTATGTGCACTTTGAAAGAAGCACCTTCACCATTGGCTTTTTAAGAGACGCTGTCGCTAGGGAGCGGCTGGAAGAGCCAGCAGCCTCGGGGAGAAGCCAGAGCTGTTTGTTCCCGTCACCTGGGCGAGGAGGCACACACAGTCGCGCGCGCACGGACGAATACACAAACGCACACACGCCACTGGCGAGTTCGAGCCCCGCGGCCCCTGTCCGCCCGCGTGCACGCCTCGGCACGGCTTGCCTCTGGCCCCCAGCTCCCCGGCCCCCGCTCCCCGATTCCTGCTGCTGCCGCCCAGAGGAGAAAGGAATCTCTGCCTCGAATTTCTCCCACCGCGCCGGGCGCTGCGGAGAGCGGCGAGGGTGGGCACGAGGCGGAGAACGCGATGAATGAGTTCTCCCCTCGCCTCGGAGTTGTCTGAGTTGGCGGCGCTGCGCCCAGGCTTCCTGCTCTCAGCGCCCCACGCGCGCGTGGCTCCCCGGGCTGCCACCCACGCCCACGGTCGGCGCCGAGCCAGCCACGCAGGGCAGCCGAGGCTCCGGAGCTCGTGTCCTGGCCCCAGTCCGGGGAAAAGGAGGGTTGTCCCCCCGGAGGCGCACGGCCGCGCGGTCTCCCCGCACTCTCTCCGCGGTCCCATCTGTTCCCCATGGCGTCTCATCCGCAAACCCGGATCCAGGCTTACCTGGAGAAGAACAAGATCGGTCCCCTGTTTGAGGTAAGGCGCTGTGGAGGAGGGCGGTCCGGTCGTCTTTAGGGGAAGGGGTGCAGTAATAAAAACAGAACATCCGCCCCCACCCCTCACAGGGAAGGAGGGATGGAGAACGAACGCGCGGGAGAGGGCGCCCTGGGGTTCGCTGGCATTTGCTCTGTCCGGGCCAGGTGTCCTGGAACGCGGCCGGGCCAATTAGCCAGTTACCTGAACGCGGACAGGTGAGCTCGGGAGGGCCCAGCCTCAGCCTGGCAGGGGAAGTTTGAGCCCTCTAACTGTCCTGCACCTCTCAGCCACATGTTCAGGACCCGGGCAGGCTGAAGCAGGCAATGCAAACGGATGCACACACACAGACTATGTTGCACACGCACACCTTGTTTCTGAATTCACGCTATCTTGCTTGTTGGATTTTCTTTCTTTCTTTCTGTTTAATGAGGGCGGTAATAGAACCCGAAAAGGTGGAGGAGGTGCTTACCAGTTAATAGTATTAACTGGAAGAAAGCTGAACTGGTGAGGAGTAGGCTTCAGTAGGTGCGGGGTGTTGAATGAAATTGGCAAACTGGGAGGCTGCCATTGGTCACCGGACGAAAGGAGAGTCCTTTGCACTGCAGACCCCGCATATACTAGCAGGAGAAAGGGACAGAGAAAGGTTCTGAAAAGCACACCGATAATTATGGAAGGAGACTATAGCTCTGAGCTGCTTGTTTTTTCTCGCCATTAAAGAATTGATGACAAAAATACAGTAGAAGAAAGAGCGCGAGGACAAGAGAAAATGAGAACGAGATTGAAACCTGGCACCAGAAAAGTGTCCCGCGGGTTGCCAGGGCGCTGGGTAGGGGTGGGGCGTGTGGGGTCGAGGTGTTCCTGCCTTGCCCCCGCCCCCCACATCTCCCAGAAGCAGTTGTAGCTGTTCTTTCTTGGTTGGGGGTGAGGGCTGTGACTCGGGGTGGGGATGGGGGAGGTTACGTGTCAGCATCTGAGAGAGACGGAATCGCGGCAAGCGGAGGAGGGTGCACTGGAGATCGCGGAAAACCGCGCAGAGGCTGAAGAGAAGCAAGTGAGAACTGCGGAGAACAATAATAGTAATGCGAGTTAATGAGGCTGCAAAATAAGGGCGAGGAGGACAAAGGTGTGGTCCAATAGGTCTTTTGGGAGGACAGGTTTCACATAACAAGATTTGCAAGATCTGCTAAGTTTTTCTGCCTAACTTTAACGATAATTTGTCTTATACGATACGACCATTGTTTCAATTGAAGATTGCATTGTGGGGTGCAGAGTCCTACAATTGCATTGATTCATTTTTCTGCCAAAAAAGTTAGCAAAGGCAATCCATGCAAGAACGAAATAAAATTGGCGGAACTACCAGATTTCTTTTCTTTGTCTTTAGTTTAATGATTATTGATTATACGTATCCTATATAATTTTTAAAAGACAGAAACATGAAATATTCTGCCACCCATTGTATTAATTGCATTGAAAGAATTATAAAATGAATACACTTAGAGTGTGTTTGCTTTCTACTCTCCTAAAGTGCAAGTGGCTTGGGAGAATAAATAATTTTCAATTAATACTGTTTTCATTTGTTATTTTAAAATCCCCAAGATTCTTTCCAAGTGATAATAGTAAAATCAGGAATATATGTAAACTTTGTACATAATTAGAAAATAAACCCAAACGGATATTTGTCAAGTGCCCCCCAGCCCCTACCTTTTAATGCTCACCATCATGTTCGGCACAGAAGAATTTTAAGTGATAGGAACATGTCTCATAAAAGCTTTAGGTTTCCTCACCAGAATACAAGCACCACCATGCTTCGTATTTTAGTGAATATATATTACCATACACCTGCATTACCTTGGATTGTAGTGATGAGTAGTGCACTTCTAAGGTTTGCTGTCCACTTTAAATAATCGAAGTGAGAAAACTGGATAGCAAATTTTCTTTCACTAAAAGCTGGATATAACACAGTTCCTTATGCAACAATTTTGATCGTGATACAGCTTGATTTTGAGAGTACAATTATATGTATTTCACAAAGTTGGACGATTTTACTAGCATGTAGCCTATCTTGTTTCATGTTAAAAAACCAGTGAAGAAATGCCCCCTGTGAAATGGACATTGTTGATCTAGAGACCATTCTCTTCTAGGACCTTACTCAATAATAGTTTTCATAAGAATTGATAAGGGTCAGAGGAGGCGCCCAGCAATCTGAACATATTAAGAGGCAGCACAGATGTTTGCTACAATTTTAATTTCTGGGCCACATTTTGAGAAACTAAGCTAAAATCTCTTTTTTATCATTCACAAATTGAAATAGGCAACTCCATGTCTTGTCATCTATGCTTTGTTGTGTTGAGTCAGTGGAGTTGACACAGGCTTCTTTCAGTTTGGAAAATATGCAGTATCTGACAATATGTCCCCCTTGTGGATAGTTTAAGTTAGGAAAGTTTTAAGAAAATTTAATTGGTGTGAGATACTTTAAAGATAATCCATGAATGTCATTTAAAACAAAAGCAAAAGGTAATTAACCTATTCCCTGGTATTGAGAATACTTGTATCCTTTTTTTACTTAGTTTGGTTACTTAGTTTATTTCTTACTTAATTTGTTTATTGCTAATATTTTATGATTTGAGATGCTTATTAAAGTGTTCTATGCAGTATGGTGTTCCAAAAATAATTTTAAATTGAAATTAATTTTGTTTTCAGCTGACTCAGGAGAATAAATTTGTACTACTTTTAAATTTCATTGAGGATGTTTTGAAGCATTGCAAAACTGTGCCTAAAAATTATTGCATTAGAATTCTGGGTAATGATGTTCTGATTAGGTAATATGAAGTTGTAAGATGAAAAAGACATTTCACAAACTCTGTAATTTTTGTAAGATGTAGGAGTTTACATCTTTGAAGGTATTTATTTGTAATATATAAGAAAATTATATATAGTGAAATATATATATATATTCCATGTGTGTATACACACACACATTTTATATAAAGAAATGCAAACTTTTTCTCTCATTCCCATTAAGTAAATAGAATAATTAGTTGAAGATTATTGATTGGAAGGGTGCTCAGGGCAGTCATATATTTTGTTTCAGACCTGATCACACTCACAAGAGTGTGAAATCTTAAATTATTAAAAAGTCAGATAGTGGGGATCTTCATAAAATCACCATAGAATTATTAAGTCTGTGTACTTAAGATATAGCAAACCAAAATCACTACATTTGTCTAAGTATGTTATGACCCCCTCAGAATAGAATGAAGTCACTCTATTACCTTCTCTGTTCAGCTCAAAGTACTTCTACTCACATGCTGTAAATTTGCATTAACTGATTTGGTATATATGTTATGAAGTAGACTCATCGAACTCATAATCAAAGCCTGCATCACTTGCATATTTTGCTGTTGCCCAGCTTGCTCTTCTCTGGTACCCTGATGCACATTTTCCAGCTCTGCATTCAATCCTGAGCTCCAATTAGCTGCCAACCCTTTAGCAAGCCCATTATTTCACTTTATTGACCTCCCTGATCATATCTAAAAAGTGCCCCTTGCTCATATCAGAGAGCTGCAGTGTATGTAAAGATCTCCTTTGATTGTTCCCTATCTCATAAGGATCACAGCTTTGGGCCACCTGTTGCTTAATACCTGAAAACAAATATCTTGTCTAATTTGGTCAGGCTTATGATTATTTAGGGCAATTGTTTGGGAGATAAGAAAGCTACTCTTTACTCACTTATGGCCAGAGGTAAAATTTCCCTCCAGAAAGATATTTTAGTGTTTAAAAATAATTTGTCATTAGTAAAAGTAAAAATGTTATTTTAATAAAAATGATTAGGAATATGCTTTTATTAGAGAAGCAATAAAATATAAGCTTGGTACTTATGTTCAACTTAAATATTGTAAGAATATTTTTTGGAGTAATGATCATCAGGTGCTCAAAGTTATGAAGGATTTCTGTATCAAAATTTGAATTAATCTTTATAATCTTAGACCATTTAGAGGAGGCAGAAGACAAAGAAGGCAGTTCAATTTTATAAAATTTTGCTTGGAAACTAAGTAAGTTTTGTCATTGATTAACTTGAAAACAGTTTTTTTAAAAGTTACTTTAATTAACATGTTCCTATTATTAGCCCATTTATTTGTTGTTTCTTCCTTAATGTATTTTATTTTCATGTAGCTTTTAGACAGCTCAATAAAGTGACTCAAAATTCAACTCAATAAATAACTCTATATAACCTTAGAAATAATAATATGTATGTATACCAATATGGCATCGATAAATTTGAAAAAAGAAATAATATTTTGGCCAGGCATGGTGACTTATGCCTGTAATCCCAGAATTTTGGGAGACTGAGGCAGGTGGATTCACTTGAGGTCAGGAGTTCAAGACTGCCTGGCCAACACAGCAAAACCCCATCTCTACTAAAAAGACAAAAATTAGCTGGGCATGTTGGTATACACCTGTAATATCAGGTACTCAGGAGGCTGAGGCAGGAGAATTGCTTGAACCTGGGAATTGGTGAGCCGAGATCATGCCATTGCACTCCAGTCTGGGTGACAGAGCGAGACTCCATCACACACACAAAAAAGAAATAATATTTTAATGCTTGTGGTCCTCTTTTAAGAGAATATGGTCAATGGAAATATGAGACTACAAAAATAACAAAGGCTTTCTTCCCTTTATTTTTTTGGTAATTCAGTTAAAAAGTCATGATCCATACAAAGAGAACCGCTAAGGCCCATACAATAAGGACAGCTACGTTGGGAGTTCACATGGAAGGTACTGGAGCATGATTAAAGAAAGGGGCTGAGTGGGCAGTGACCTGGCAGGGTCAGAAGATTTGTTACCTGAGGTGGGGGCAGGTTTTAAATATATTGAAAATATACTGGACAAATGTAGATTCAAGTCAGCTTTCTTACTGATGGAGATAGGAGTCACAAATAATTGAAGGAAGAGCTAGAATGAATTGTTGTGTTGAATTGAAATTGGAGGTGTTGGTGTGA